ACACTCATAGTTTAGGACTTTGGTATCCTAGAGACTCTAGTTTTAGCTTGCATGCCTTCTCTGATGCGGATTATGGAGGATGCAAATTAGATAGGAAAAGCACCTCCGGTACTTGCAAATTCCTTGGAAATATGATGATTTCTTGGTTTTCAAAGAAACAAAATTGTGTTCATTATATATCACTGAAGCGGAATACATTTCAGCCGGTAGTTGTTGTGCACAAGTTTTATGGATGAAACAACTTTTTGATTATGGAATTGAAGTAGGTACTATTCCTATCAAGTGTGACAATACTCATGCTATTTGTCTCACTAAAAATCCCATCCAATTATTTAGAACTAAGCACATTGAAATTAGACATCACTTCATTAGAGACCATGTCGCTAAGGAAGATATAGTTCTAGAATTTGTTGATACTTTGCACCAATTAGCGGATATTTTTACAAAACCTTTAGACAAAGAAAGATTTTGGACACTTAGGAGAGAATTAGGTTTAACTAACCTATCTTCACTTAGTGTTTAAAATAATTTTAGCACTTTTAATTAGTTTTAAGAAAATGCTTATAAAAATAACTATTTTGATTGCATTCTTTGCTAATAGTTAGGGGGAGTTTATGATTCATAGTGAAAATTTATTATATGTTCAAATAATGTTTAAGGTTAAAATTGATTGATTGAACATAATTAATTTTCAATAAATGAGTTGCCAATACCACTAGAGCTAAATAATTTAGCATTTTAAGTGTTTAAAATGGATTTTTGACATTTTTGTGCTTAATGTATCGATACGCATAATAGTGCATCGATGCATCCCTTTGTATGTGCATTGATACATCATGAAGATGCACCGATACACTCCTTGAATGTGCATCGATGCACAAAGCCATGCATCGATGCATCCGCCGGGTTTTGGGGTTTAGAAAGCTTATTTTCTTATTTGTTTCAAACCCTAAAACTAAACCCTCTCCATCCATTCGCCTCTCTCCCTCTCTAAATTCTCTTTTTGCTCAAAATCAACGAAAAATAGTCGAAATCTTTAAGCTTTTCATCTTCATATTCTGCTAACATCATTAAATCGTGTAAAACAACTTCTCATTCTCATCAGTCCGAAATTTTCGAGGTATTTTTCTAAAAACCTCTATTTTATTATATTTTGATTTTAGAACTAGTTTAGATTAGTTATAGGATGAACATTATATCGGGCATTGATTATTTGGTGATTAGGAACAAGATTTTACAACAAATTTCGTCAAAAACACACAATATTTCAAATTTTTATTTGAAATTCGAAAAAAAATTAAAATCTTTTGATTTATTTAGATGATTTTGACTCAATTATGTTGTTTTTCATGAAAACTATATATATTATGATTTTTCAAAAATTATTTTCAAATAGTTTTCAAAACCTTGCCCATTAGGATTTAGTATAGAGAACCTTGAATTATTACAGACTCAATTGAGTTTTGGGATTGATTAAATTGCATACATGTGTTTTTCAAATTGGAGGTTACTTTCCTTATTTCGATTCCTTAAACCATGTGAAATCCTAAACACCCTAGGACCTCTTCTAGTCGTTCTACCCGACCTTCTAATCCCGTTCCTCCTCAACCCTCAAATCTTATAAGATCCTATTTTAATATGCCTGAACGTCGTAGAGAAGAATTGTATCATAGGTACATGAATTCTTTCCAATCTTATAGAATCCGGGAAGAGCGTATTCCTTCTGTTCAAGCCATGATTGATATTGACTTCGAATACCTTCTGATTCTCAAAACATGGAAGTTTGATAAACTATTTTCCCTAAAACCTATCGTCTATCATCAGTTAGTCCGCATTTTCTACTCTAATGCGGTATGTATTCAAAACCAGACTCAATGTGGAACTATAGCAATCAGATCTTACCTTTTAGGACAATATGTTAATATTGACTCCGAGACTATAACTTCACATTTTGGGCTAGATGACGATGGTTTATATAATAAGAAAGAAATTGTGGAATATCTCTATGTTCCAAATGCTAGTGTTAGTACCCTACGATCTCATCACGATCGCTTTATTCATTTGATGATTTCTTGGTGGTTTAGATCATCCGGAGGTAGGTACTCCACTCTTCGTATTAGGGATTTATGGTAGATGCACTGTATCAAGAATAAGAACAAAATAAATTTTCCACACATTATATTTAGTGAGCTAGTGGATACCATAAACATTATTCCTTCAAAACATGTTGAAACATTAGTTTATGGATGCCTTCTTAGTAACCTTTTTATCAAACTCGGTCTTAACGTCTCTCTTGACAATCCCATTCCTCTTCAAAATCAAATCAATCTCACCTCGTTGAAGAAAGTTGATTGGAAACTGGATGAGGAAACTGGTCAATGGGTCTTTCGACCCTCTAAGGAAACTCAGGGAGCAAGTTCTTCACGAGCACCTCCTGCTCCTAGCTCTTCTCGTGCTCTTCCTCCTCCTCTGGCACCGACTGCAGATGATGATCCCGAGCTTCAAGGATTATTTCAAGACATTGACGATCCTGACAATACGTCGGCACCATACGAGGATCAAGTGCCTCCATATTTTCGTTCATTTTTGGAGACATTTGATCTACGGTTTGCTTCCATCAAATCCCATTTGACTACTAACAACAAAGCAGTGAATCATCGCTTAGACACTTTGGAAGCTCAACAAATAGAGTTTCAAAGGCAGATGCTTGCATGTATGGATGCTCTCTCTCTTGAGATGCAAGCACGGTTTCCTCCTCCTCCCGATCCCCTGATGGAGTAGATTTTTCCTTGTTATGCTTTCTTGGATTTAAAACTTGGATTGAATTTGATGTTTCTGGATTGTTTATTTTGGATGATTGAATGCTTGAATTAATGTTTTGGTTGTTTTGGCTATAAGAACTTAATACATAAATGTTTAGTTTGGTTAGAATTTTCTTATTTTTGCATCATTAGACATATATGACCAATTTACCATTTCACATTCGATATGAATATTGATTATGAAACTAATGACTAATCTCTCTTTTGATTGGGATCTTAGCAGCTTAATCTTATTATTAAATAACTTGGCTAAATTTTTTTAGAGTATTTTTGATTTAACAAAAAGGGGGAGAAACTGTATCATAGTATGGTGGAGTAAGTAGTTTTGGAGTAAGTAATTTTCAACTTTTCAAATTGATTTCAAAAATAATTTTTTTAAACAAATCTTAAAATTACTCAAGTGTTTTGTTATATCAAAAAGGGGGAGATTGTTGAAAATATTTTGATGTTTCGATATAACAAACTAAGTATAAATGAATTTTAAGATTTTTATAAGTATATTCGATTCAATTAATCGAATATCAAATTATTACTCCAAGTCTTTCAAGATCAATTTCAAACCTTACTAAATGTGTAAAATTGTGTTTTATACTTAATATATTTTTGAAACAATTTTCACAAAGTATTTTGAACCAAAATAGAGCCTAAAATCAATTTTTCAAAGGAATGCACCGATGCACCAATCTATGCATCGATGCACCAATGAATAAATTGAATATCGAATGCAATTTATGCATCGATGCACCCTCCATGCATCGATGCACCCTCCATGCATCGATGCACCCTCCATGCATCGATGCACTCAGGTTTTAATGAAAACATCGATTGCATTTTATGTATCGATGCACACACCATGAATCGATGCAATTAGGCTTATTAAAAACATCGAATGCATTTTATGCATCGATGCACACTTAGTGCACCGATGCACTAAGTGTTTAAACGGTCAAAATATTTGAATTTAACACTTGATGCACCTATGCACCTTGTGTATGCATTGATGCACTGACGCTCCCAACTGATTTTATTAATTATTTTCACACTTAAACGGCTCTATTGACTCCACTAATCATCCCCAATATTCAAAATCAATTGAAGGAGTATTTAAACAAGCTTAGAAGCCATTGATCAAAAACAAGAAACAACAATCAACAAGAATCAAGAGAGAATCAAAGAGAAAGCATCAAACCTCAAGTTTGAGCATTTCAAGCCTATTTTTCATTCAATATTCATTTTGCTTTCAATAACACTACTTGTATTCAATTGTATTCATTTTTTAGTGTTCTTTTCTTTGTTCTAGAATTGTTCAAACATCTTGCCTTGTGTGGATTTTCTTGTAAGTTTGCAAAATTTGTATTGTTCTCTTTGGGAGAGAGTGTTCTCAAGAATTTGGGTTATAATTATTGAGGGATTTGTAAGGTTACTCTTTGTCCTCAAAAGAAAGACAAATTAGTGAATTTGTGGAAAATCCTTAGTGTGGATAGCTAACATAGTGGACTTAGAATTTAGTTAAGAAAGTCGAACCACTCTAAATTGCTGCGCAATTACTTTCAATTTTCTGCAAAAGCTTCCACCAAAATTTTAAATTGCCAATTCACCCCCTCTTGACCATATTCGTCGATCGATTAACTCAATATATTGAAACGAACATTTGGTTCATGGAATATAACATTACCTCAGGGAACAAGATTACCAGAATGTTACATTACCTGACACATTACTGAGAATGTTACATTATTGTGTTTGGTTTGTTTGATAGGAATGTATAATTGCAGTGTTCGGTTAAAGGAATAAAATTTTACTAGAATATATATTTTACCAAATTTTCATTGTAATAGTTTTTTAACAAATTAAATTCCAAATATTCAAATGAAAATACTTATATAAAAATTCATAGAAAATATATTATTGTATTATTTTTAATTTATATATTTTTATTAAATTTAAATTCATAAAATTTATATAAATTTTTTACAAAATTTAAAAGATAAGTGGGTAGATTAAAAGAGTAAATATATTATATATTCTTTTAATCTTAATTAATATTAATTTTTGCAGTTATTGAAACAATTTATTTTTATAATCTTTTCGTGTATATTGAATTTGAGATATTGCTTTTGAACTTTGTTTATAATAACAACAATAGTATTGTTAATAATGATAATAAATAAAAATACCATGAAACCCTCTGAAGCTTCCAGCGCTGACCTCAGTACCGACCCCAGACTTCAAAAAAAACAACGACGAAGAGATGAAGACCCGCCCAATCTTTTCGCCATGGCAAGAGATGGTGCTACTTCTCTGATGGAGTGCGACGACTCCTCACCTGCTATCTCTTACAAGGATGATGTAACGAAGTCCACTGCTGCTCAACCAGACTCTAAAACTGTTGATCTAGAAGATGATGATATCGAACTACTCGAAGAGGATATCACTCTTGGCTCCTCTAACGGTATTCCAACCATAGATTTTTCAAAACGAGTTCAATCTCTTACCGTTAAAATCATGGATTGAACGCTCGTAGTTAAAGTTCTTGGACGAAGAGTGGGTTATAATACCCTGCACAATTGCATATACGGTATCTGAAAACCTTCTTACCCTCTCAAACTTATTGATATTGAGAATGATTACTTTCTTGTGAAGTTTAGTGATCATGGTGACTACCTAAAGGTGCTCACAGAATGACCTTGGACCATTTTCAGGCATTATTTAACAGTTGAGCTATGGTCTATCGACTTTCAGCCGAACTAAGATTATCCTAGCCACCTCATGGCATGAATTCGATTAACATGTCTTCCAGTAACCCTTTACAAAAGAAGTTTCAGTGAAACTATTGAAAAACAGGTTGATTCAGTGATAAAAATTGATTTTCAAACAGATAATGGTTGTAGAGGGCGTTTTGCATGCATAGCCGTTAGCCTCAATCTTCATCGGCCTTTGGTATCCAAACTCCTCATCAATGGTTGCCTCCAAATTATAGAGTATGAATCGCTTCCCACTATTTACTTCCATTGTGGCATCTACGGTCACCATAAATACATTTGTCCGCAGCTACCAGCACAGAGAGATGTCCAACCAATGACTGAGATTCCTCCGCGACAACCTCAGACTACAGAAAACTCAGTTTTGGATGAAGCTTTCGGGCCATGGATGCTCGTGGAAAGGAAAAAACGTAATTCCAGGAATGTTAATTATGTAAAACAATTAGTCCATGATTCCAGCCCCATCATAGAAAAATCAAATCCCGTTTTTAAAGCTATCCCTAATAATCAGGAAAATAGGTCAAAATCTAGGGTGATTGAAATGGAATCCACGATGCCATCTTTAGTATCGCCTTTAAACCCTAAAATTAGCTCATTAATTGAACCAAAGAGTAATCCTCCAGATAAAAACAAATCAAATGATAAGGCTCCAACAAATCCAAAAAAAGCCCCAGCTGTCCCTTACGCCCCCAAGAAGCAAACCCACCTTGGAGGTAAACCCGCCAAACTGCATGCATTAATTAAAAACCCCATGCAAGGATCACGTAACACAACTAATGGAGCTTCTTCCTCCAATTTGCCACGATTAAACTCGGCTGAGAATCTCGACCCTAACAAGCATCACGCTGTGAAGCTAATAAATGAAGACAATCCCCACATCCCAACCAAAGCTCTAGTTCCTCCTGCAACTAGCAAAAGCCCCGATGCCATGATGGAATAATGGGTTCTTTTGCCTTCTCTCTTCACTTTTTTCTTTACTTATGTATCTCAATATATTTATGTGGAATGCACAAGGTTGTGGCCACCGGAATTTTAATCGCGTTGCTCGACAATATATACGAGATCATTCACTAGATGTTGTAGGCTTCGTTGAAACCCGTATAAGCAGTCATGCTTCTGATAAAGCTATTGCTCAACTCAAAATTATGAACTCTTTTATAGTAGAAGCTGATGGTTTTTCTGGAGGCATTTGGATTTGTTGGTACGATCACATTCAAATAGATGTTCTATTCAATCATTTTCAATTTGTTCACTGCCGGATCCACTGTAAGTTCAATAACTGTTCCGCTCTTGCTACCTTCGTCTATGCAAGTCTAAATCCTGCTAAAAGGAGAGCTCTTTGGAAGTACCTTCACTTGCTCTCCAATCATATTAATGAGCCTTGGATTTTCTTAGGCGATTTCAATGCTACATTGTCTCCTAATGATTGAAAAGGCTGTGTTAACAACCCATCCTCGGACCAAGGCTTCAGTAATGTTGTTTTCGATTCAAGTCTTCATGATCTTGGATATCAAGGACCCGACTTTGCTTGGTATAGAGGACCTTGTGCAGTTCACCTCAACCGATTTTTATGCAATGATAAGTGGCTGGTCGCATATCCTGACACATTGGTTTATTATCTCCTTAGAATAAAGTCCGACCATAGACTTCTCTTACTATCTATTGGAAAAAACCCCAACAAGCGATGGATGGACCCTCCACAAATATTTCCATAAACTTGTGCTTGATAATTGGAACCCTTCACTCCCAATTACACATTCTATCTCTAAGTTCAATAATTCTACAAAAATATGGAATCACTACACTTTTGGGCAGCTTTCTCATCGCAAGCGCACTATTATGGGGCGACTTCGGGGCATCCAACGCTACCTTGATAAAAAACACAGTGCCTATCTCTCAAGACTTGAGACTAAACTTCAAGCTAAACTTGAATTAATCCTTGATCAGGAAGAGCTCTTATGGAAGCAAAAATCTCGCTCGAATTGGATAATATTTGGCGACAGGAACACAACTTATTTTCATAAAAACTATTATAAACAGGAGGACTAATAAGATTTATTCTCTTCAAATTTCCACTGGAGATTGGTGCTCAGACATTAATGTTCTTCGGTAAGAAGCCAACTCATACTACTAGAAACTGTTTTCGCTTCATGAGGAGGTGCACGACACCTATCCTATTTCGGGGTTTTTTCCAACTCCACCTCATGAATTCATGCAAAATTTAGAGATTCTGCCAAATCCCATGGAAATAAAGGAGGTGTTATTCGATATGGCTCCACTCAAATCTCCAGGAGCAGATGGATTACACGCACACATCTATCAAAAGCATTGGGACATTATTGGCACTTCGGTTTGCTCGACAATCTAAAATATTTTCAGTGGTAATAATATTGATCCTCTACTGAACAAAATAATTCTCGCCCTCATCCCCAAAGTCCCAAGTCCTTCAAGCTTCAAGGACTTTTGACCTATCATCCTTTGTACGATCTTATATAAGTTGGTCATTAAGATCATTATCAGGCGCCTCCAGCAAATTATGCCCCGACTTGTCGCGCCTAACCAAACAAGCTTCATTCAAGGCCGTAGCATCTCGGAGAATATTATTATTAATCAGGAGGTTATCCACTCCATGAAATCCAAGGAGGACAAAGATGGTTGAATGACGATAAAGGTGGACTTGGAAAAAGCTTTTGATTGTCTGCGCTGGGACTTCATAGCCGACACACTTTATGAAACAGTCTTCCCACCAGCAATTACATGACTCATCTTATATTGTGTTTCATCTTCTTCTATGTAGGTTCAATTTAACAGAGGTCTTAACAATGATTTTAAACCACAATGCGGAGTTCGACAAGGAGATCCAATATCGCCTTACCTTTTTGTTCTTACCATGGAAAGGCTTAGACATCGTATCCACCTTGCTTCTGAGGAGGGCGCTTGGAAACCATTTAAGCTAATACGTGAAGGTCTTCCTATCACTCATTTATTCTTTGCAGATGACTTAGTATTGTATGCTAAAGCAATTGTGGTACAAACAATTCTAATTGATAATATCCTGGAGGAATTTGGTCACTACTCGAGCCACAAAGTTAATAACCTTAAATCCCACATCTCGCCCAATACAAGCGTAGAAACATCAAATGCATTCTGTTCTCATCTCGGTATCAAGCAAGTTCCTAACTTTGGTGTTTATCTCAGAATACCGGTGATGCAAAAGCGTGCCACCTGCGAATTCTATAGCTTCATTATTGATAAAATAAAATCAAAGCTCCATGGGTGGTCGGCTAGAACGCTATCTTTTGCAGGACGAATTACCCTCGCTAACTCCGTACTCATGGCTATATCTACTTACTTCATGGAAACTTGTCGCTTCCCCTCTCGAGTCTGTCAAGACATTGAAAAGCTTGTTTGGCCTTTTATATAGAGCTCTAGTAATCAAACTCGAGGCATTCCCCTCGTTAGCTGGGATACCTTAACTCAACCTAGGCACAATGGAGGCCTCAGCGTTCGGAGGTTACAACAACATAATTATGCCTTCCACATGAAACTTTGTTATGTCATCGCTTCAGATACAAAGAAATATTACATAAATCTTCTTCACCAAAATATAAGGTGCTCTCTAATTGCTCCCTCTATATTTTCGATCGAGTACCTCTCATTTGTGGATGTTTTTATCCAAAGTCTGGAATAGTTTCTATAGTTTATTATCTTGGTCTATAGGCGATAGAACTATAACCAGATCTTGGTATGAAAATTATCTGCTGAAACTTGGGCGTCTCTTAGAATGGAAACAAGAGCATATTACTGTTGAAGATAATATGCTGGTCTGAGATGATGCCCTGCCGAACGGCAACTAGAACTGGAATCTACTTCGACAGTCTCTCCAGCCCTAAATGTTATTACTGAATGTTCAACCTCCTAATCCGAATGCTGGTAATGATCGTTATTGTTGGTCCCAAGGCAAACATAGTGAGTTCACAGTAAAATCTGCTTATGATCTTATAACCAAGGATCTTTGGGACCCCAAAGATATCAAATAGACTAAGCTTTGGCGTATGACTATCCCGGAGCGCATAAAACATTTCCTATGGCTTTCTTACAAAGATCGCTTGCTTACGAACGTTAATCGTTGTACAAGGAAGCTTACGGACGATCTTTTATGTCAAATATGTGGCTTAGCTAACGAAAATACACTACATGTTCTACGTGACTGTAAGCACTCTGCAACTCTTTGGCAACTGATTATCCGACAACAAATCCGACCGAACTTTTTCACCACTAACGCCTCTGATTGGATCACGATGAACCTAGACTCAAATAGTCTTTTTGCTGGCACAAACATCCCATAGAAAATACTATTCTCTTCTATAGCCTGACAGATCTGGAAGCGAAGAAATTCCTATATATTTTCAGATTTTCTCATCCATAATGACCAACTCCTCTCCCTAAGTAAAAATTGGTCTCTCTATATCATTGCAGTAAAGACCATCTCCCCAACAGATTCTGTTGCTTCTCGTCCAGAACTTATTCAATAGAAGCCCGCGCCTACAGACTGGTACACTCTTAACACAGATGGAGCGGTAAACAAAATTTCCTCTCTCGGATCGGTGAGTGTCCTTATTCGAAATATGAACGGTGACTAGATCATTAGATTTAATAAACCAGTTGGAATCTCAACTCCACTCTAAGCCGAACTTTAGGGATTTTTTGAAGGACTTCAATTGGCGCTATCCCATAATATTGAACGCCTTCAATGCCAAACAGACAGTGCTGAAGCTCTTAATCTCATGTCCTCGCCAATGGCTAACTACAGCCCAATAGCTCTTGTTCGCTCTATTGCAAATCTCATATCAACACAATGGACGATTGAATTCATTATCATTCGTCGTGAAGCCAATGCTACAACAGACTTCCTTGCAAAATCTACCGTTGTTACAAATGAACAAGCACATACCTATATAGAACCCCCAAGAGATTACATTACTTTTTCACCATGACCTCTATGGTCCTGCTTTTCTCCGCACTTAGTATTTCATTGTAATAGTCTTCTTTATAATTCAAAAAAATAATAATAATAATAAATAAAATTTATATTGTTCTTTTTGATATTTTTGTTTTCATTTTAATTTATTTCTTTATTTAAAAAGTGATGATAATAAATAAATAAATAAATAAAATTTTCGAAGATTGATATTCCTGGAAAAAGACCTTAAAATTCTAGTGTTGGAAAAAATTTATTACCCCATAATGGGAATCCTTACAATTCAAACAAGAATTCTAGAAGAAAAAAAATTATCCCCCAACCCCCACCAAAGTAATTTTCTTATCATCCATTCAAACAGCCATTGACAAGAGAAAGGAAAAAATAGCCATTGACAAGGGAAAGAGAAAAAATATTCAAAAGCTTAAAACATATTTTATATGAGGATATATCCATAATTATATATAAATTTTAATGATTTAATTAATATATATTTTAAAATAATCCGTATGTTTTTAAGATAATATTAATATATGTTTTAAAAAAATCTTTCTTTACCTGTTTTTTCCTTTTTTATATAGAAGCAATTAATTTTATTCAAACTAGGAAATATCTAAAATTATAATAAATATTTACAATCATAAATTAAACACATAATTAAAAAAAATTCATATAATCATTGAAATAAAATTAGTAACTTAAGATGACATAAGGATCATACAAGGAAATATTAAATCTAACCAAGAAACTCAAATAAAGGTAGACACAAACAGATATGATCACATCGGCAAACGAACCACAAAAGAAGATCAAACTATTGAAAGACCACCAACAAACCACAAATCAAATTCGAACGACGTAAAAAAGCTATCCACGAACACAAATTAGGTATCTAAATCCAATCTGAGTGTCCAAAGTAGGTAAAATCATAAGATATTAGATAAACAGCATCTTTGATC